TTGCTCCACGGTCTAAAAATGGCAAGCTCGAACCTGAGGAATTGGTTCTTAACAGAAACGCTTGTCCAGATGTGAACTTGCCCTCAACATCGTCATCTGAGGTCCTGCTCAAACAGGTGACACACCTTCGGGGGTTAGGCCAGTGGCGACCAGGAAAAGGTTTGTTATTCTGTAATTGTTGCCGTTTCATTATTGGATAGATCAAGTGGTTGCATGGATTGCAACTTGTTTTGATTCGGATGTTATTGTCTGAGAGCAGCCATGAAAGTTTAGCTGTGGGGAGGCGAAGTATATTTTAATTCTTATGTAACTATCCGCATATAATCTTAATGAAAGAAGAATTCACACTCAGGATGGATGCAGACAGATGGATAGAGAAACGGGCAACGAACGCCTAGATGCATTTTTACTACAGGTAAAAATAAAAGCCTGCCTATCTGAATGAGAATTTCCTGGGAGTCATACCTAACGCAAGCTACATTTGTCGCTTCCACGTTAATTGCTTGGGTCAGGGTGGTAGGCTTAACCACTTTCAGTCGAAATGTTCCTGCTTAACTGGTGTGAAATGGGACTCTTTGCAGCAGGGCCCTCCATCCTAAAGCTTTTAAAACGGTACATTTTGCATGGAGGTTCAAGCAAATGTTAAGAAAGGTTCCGGACAGAAGCATCACGGGATCCGGTGGTTTATATATGGGGTTTACATATGGCACTCTGTATGAATAAGACTGATTTCCTCTTACATATAATACTGTATGTACACTCGAATACAGAATGTGCACAGACCCTCAAATCCGTTGCTAGGAAGGGATCTCTTTGGGACGCCGCTCTTCCTTCCAGGCTCCTGCAGCTGCAAGGGCGTTTGGGGTATGGACTTCTGTTTCGCTAAAGGATTCTTAAGACGTGCTGCTTGCCCTCTAAGATTCCTTTCCAAGGAGGAAAGCGTCCATACCTCGGTCGCGAATTGCCTCTGGCCGCTTCCTAGAGGACCTCTACAAGGGAAACCTTTTCGCTTCTCAAAGCAGAGCGTTTTCACAAGGGAGACAAAAGACTCCGGGTTGCGATGAAGAAGCTGCTTTGCTTCAGCTCCTCGTGGCTTTGTTTGTTTGTTTTGACCGCGGCACCTCTGAAGAGCTGGGTGGAATCTTATCCTTGCCCGATTACTTTTCACACAGGAAACGGGCAAGGACCCTAGAAGTTGGGCCTAGGGCTTGCCTAGGACGACCCTCTGGAGGTTTATTCAATCACACCCAGTTCAATGGGCTTGACAGTGTACCTATGACCGCAGTCGAGGACGCAAGCCACGTTCCAGGGCGATGCTGCCATTGAAGTGAATGAGTCTGGTTTGCCACCGTTTGTTGAAGGCACTTCTTTCTCACTTGCCCCCTCCAAACTCTGCTCGGCTCATATCAAAAGAAATACCACCTCCACACAAAGCCCCCTCCCCATGCACCTAACTCCCCACCCACCCCACACAGTACTTCTCACATTGGAAACTTTGGGAAACTGAGGGACGACAACTTTCCCGGATCATGAGGTCATACAGAGGTGTTTTCATTAAAAACCAGCAGCAAGAGAATTTGATTTGGGAGGCGGCTTGAGACAGAACATGACATGAAGAATAAAATTTTAGGGATTCAATCCTACACATATTTCTCTAGGAGCAAGTCCCATGGAACTCAGTGGCTCTTACTTTTGAGTAGATATGGATAGGTTCATACAGCCAGCCTTATTGTTGGGACTTAGCTTCAACTGAAATAAAGAGGGCCTGTTTTCAAGTAGCAGTGTTTATATTACCAATATTTGAGGGTGGGGGATCAGACCCATTAGGATTAAGAAGCATTTATTCAGAAGCAAGTTCCAATGATGGCCTTTACTCAGTAAAAGTTGTGACCCTGGGTTTGTACCACATTCTCCCTTTAGATGTTTATGGATGTGATTGCAGGCTGTTTGCTTGTTTTTGACTTTTTACACACTGTAGTTTTAATTTTTACCCATCTGTTCCTGTCAGCAACTTTGAGCACGTTTTCAAAAGGCTGCACAATTTAAAACAAATGAGTAGGAGTTCTCAGGATTGTGACCTCTGTCTATTGACTAGAAGCTACAAACACAAACACCAGACGTCTAACTCTTCTAGATAATTTTACATGAGGGAAAGAGGTGAATCTGAACAATTTTATTTTGCTTTATTATTATTATTATTAAATTTTACCAATATGTTTCCAGATAACGTTGACAAGAAAATTATCCGGGGGGGGGGGGGGATGCTGAAACATTTTCTTCAGAAAGATATGCAACTTGTTAAGTGTTGTTGTTTTATTAGACCTGTTGGCTGGATCCCCCACCCCCAGGAGGGTCTCCAAATATCAGCAAAGAAGTTTCATTATAACTGCAGCTTTTTAAACTATCTCCAGTTATGCTGATTCTGTTGTTTTAGAAGTCCAGCATATGGGCTTTTAATTATTTCCAAATTAAACATATGCCATGATGCCATACTTCTCTCTCTCTCTCTCTTAAAAAAGTAGATACTTTTTATAAAAAAACGGGGGGAGTTGGAATTATTTTAAAATTATATATATATGTTACTTTCTTTCTTTTTTAAAAAAAAGGCCTCTTATGAATTGAAGGAGGACTTTAAAAACTCAAGAAAGAAGCATTTCACCCCCTTTAAGTAGGGTCTGGGTTGGATCCTCGAAATGCTCACTGATGTTGAAAAGGAAACTTTTGCAAGCGCAGTGTGTGGTAGGTACGTCCCTTTTCTATTCTTTGATTTTAATTGCTAGCCTATTTTATCTTGTTAAGTTTGCTAAACTGTATGTGCAAGACACAGAACCCAACACCCAAGAACAAGGTTATTGCTCTACGTAGGACTGGCGCTGTGGCCAACAGGGGGCGCTCAGACATCCAGCTCAGCCCCCGCCTCTCATCTAAGCCCATCACAACCCCGGAAGAAGCGGGTACAAGCTTGCAAGCTTAGCAGGGTCGAGTACAGATCTTTAGTCCTCATGGATAAAAAGAGATTAAAGGCTAACTTCCGTCTCTCTCCCTCTCTTTCTTTCTCTCCCCCCCCCTTTTGGTATCAATTTTAACCAACTACAAAAATGTAGAGCTTTTATCCTTTGATGTCTCTCTAGAAAGAAACTGTTACATCAGCTGAGAAATTACATCGTTTGCAGAGCCAACAAATCTAACATGAAGTGGGGGAAATAATTTAATTAATAAATGATCTTCCTTAGAGGCACTTAAAAAAAAAGCAGCCTGATCTTTGCCTCCCCTCTTTTTTCCACCCCGCACCCCACATTACCAGTGCAGTCCTTTCTCGCTGACTGTCGCTGCATCAGATTGAACGTATCAAACAAAAATAAATATCTGCACATTAAACTCTCTTCTCCTTCTGCATTTGTGGGCGATCTTTCTATTAAGGCTTGCATTTATTTTCCATTCGAACCTATCTTATTTTATTTTATTTTTAAAAATTACTAGAGAGTGCCCGAGAGAAAAGCCAAATCATTAGAGGGGAGAGCAAAACAAGCTAAGAATTAAATACTAAGTCACACATTGTAGCTGGACCCATTTATGATGGAAAGGCTAAATAAAATTGCAACAGCCCCCCCTCTTTTTTTCTTTTCTTTTTTTAAAGCCTCTTCACCTGTATTTAAATAGCACGTCTTTAATTACAGCGGTCGGGGATGTATGAGGCTGAAATGAAATTAGCAGTCATTACCAGGCCCTTTAACTCCGTGGTGCTTTTGATCAGCGCTAAATTAGCTTCCCAGTCCTAACAAAGGCTCTATAGCAAGCAGTGGGCTGTAAATAAGACAGCTCGACCTGCCCTCAACACCTTTCCTCTTGTCAATCACAGCTCCGTCATTCAACCCAAGATTAACCTTTATCTATCAAATGCTTTTTAAAAAAAATAATGAAAAAGAAATAGAGGGAAAATCCAAAACACTCACAACTTCGTAAAGGGGGCTACCTCCTTTTAAAAATTAAAATGGAGGGGGGGTCCTGAATTATAATTAGCCTTTTTTTTTTTTTTTTTGCATTGTCAGGCGTTCGGTAAGGCTTTTTGTGAAGGCATTGCAGTGCCAGTGAGGGAGAACCCCCCCTTTCTTTTTCAAGGGGGCTGCAAATCGATAACGAAAGTTGGGGGTGGGGAAGAGAGGCAGAGAAACAGCTGACACCCCCCCTCCGTGTGTTTAAACTAAAGGCTGATCTTCATTTTACCATTAGGGGGCGCGAGAGAGCAAGCGCGAGCCTCGGCAGCTGGTACTGTACAACACCTTGCAGATTTCAGGTAATGCATCTTCCCCGATTTCCCTCTTCCTTCCCTCCTCTCCTCCCACCCCCGGCTCCTGCCTGCACATCTTCCTTCATTAACCCGTTTCCCGGAAACTCAACGTGCACGGTGTCATAGATTCAGATAGGGCACAGGCAGATCGTCCCCGATAGTTTGGTGTCTTCATCATTTTTTTAAAAAAATCGGTTTGGCTCAACTAAATCCCCTTTTTTATTGCCAAATTGCGTTTACGGGAAAACACACACACACAACAACAACAAGGCTTCTTCGGACTTCCCGCTCTAATAGGGGCAAACCTTTTTAAAGAACCCCCCCCCCCATGCAATTAAGCAATACACGGCTCTTTTGCTCTCAAATCCAAACAAGATGGGGGGGGGGAGGGAGGAAGGAAGGAAGGAAGGAAGGAGGGATGGAAAGGGGAGAACAATTATTTTATTTTTCCAGAAACTGTACTTTTCCGTCCAAAAAGGGGAGGGTGGGGGGAAGAAGCGGAAGGGAGAGAGTGAGAAATGTTAAGTATTTGCAAAGTGCAACGCTCTTTTCCTGACGGCTGGAACACAGGAGGTGTGTATATTTCCCAGATCTAATTCCAACCCCCCCCCGCCCCTCAAGTCTCGGAGAAGGCAAGTAAAAGCAGAGACTGGCAGTGCATGTCAAAGTTGGTGCAAGTTACTTACAGGTTTCTGCCACTCCACTTTGGGCTCTCGGCTCGGAGGGCGTTTGATTGGCAGAAGGAAGACAAAGTCCGCGGGGGCTCCTCCGTCCCAGCTCGGCCTCCTCGGGGGCTTGGAGCACTTTCCCCCGGACGGCGGCACTTGCGGATGCTCGGAGGCTCCTCTCTCGCGCCCCCCAGCCCCGCCAGCCCCCGCGCTCCAGCCTTCCTCTTCTTCTCCAGCCAGAGTGAATCCAGTTCCGTTTTTCTTCCCCCGGCAATCCGGGTTGCCTACACATCCTTCAAATCCTAGTCCTAGCTTTAAACTGCAGCCCCTGGAACAAGGGGGGAGAGGGAGAAAGAGAGAGGGAGAGAGAGAGAGAGGGAGACAGGGAGAGAGGAAAATCGTTTATGGTATGGCTTAAAAAATCCAAATGGCTGATTTTGTGTGTGTGTGTGTGTGTGTGTGTTATAAGAATGCACCCACAACAACAAAAAAGTCAATTCTCCGTCTCTTTCTCTCTCCTCCTCTCTCTCCCTCAACCCCCCCCCTCCGTCCGCAGAGGAGAATAAGAATAAAGAATAAAAGCTTTATATTTTTGCAGTGGGTATTCAAAGATAATTTGATGCTATTGTTTCTGCTACAGATGGTTCTTTTTAATACAATAACAGTGCGCTTTGTGCATGCCACACACAATACAAATCGAAAAGCGTTTTCCTGAATAACCATTTTGTTCTCATTTGTATAGGGGCAACAAAAGGCGCCGTGAAGTAATGGGGATTCTGTTTATTGAAGCCACAGAATAGGGGCTTGATAAAGATTTAGGTTTGGTTGCCCCCCCCGCTCCCGCCCAATGGAGGCACACAAATGGAAAAGGACTTCGCAAGACCTAGCCTCTCTCCTATTATTATTATTATTATTATTATTATTATTGCTATAGATCTATTTCTTTTTAAAGATGGGGGCTTGTGTCTCCCGCTCGGGTCTTAATCGGCCCTAACATCTGTTTATTTCAATGGGGCGGTCGTAGTAGTTGGGGGGTGGTATCCATTGCTTAAAAGGAAAAAGGAAAATTAGAATTACAGAAGAGGGCATGAGAAGGGTATTATTGGATATGCAATACTGAAGTGGACCACACATTTGTACACATTTGTGCGTGCGTGTCTATGCCCTGGTTCCCCCCCCCCCCACAGGGTTTCAACAGATCCTCCAGTCCAAGCTGCGTGACCAAGGAAGAGACGCTTGCCTCTCTCTCCACCCCCCAGATCAGTCCGATCCAGCTCCACAAAAAGTTTTCTTTAGACAATCCCACAAGCAAATGACAGTCAATAGAACCTAATGGCGACACTTTCAAGGACCTCGGTTTAATTGGGCTGTAGATCAAGCTAAAACATTCGCCACTCGAAAAGGCTATCTTCACATCTAATCTCTGCAACGCAGGGCACCTACTCTGAGAGTATTCAAACTTTCCCCCACCCGGCTCGTTCCCTCTCCCGTCCTGCTCAGCATTCAGCCCCGATGCTGCTGCGAATCAACGCGCTTCCTTTCCTTCTGCACCAACGTCACGTCTGAAGGGTCCCTCCCACATAAGTTTAACACGCATCTCTGCTCCGTCAAGATTACTCGTCCTTTTAAGCGCCCCTAACCTCTCCAGAATGGATTCGATTCACAAGGACGTTTACACAGGATAAGTTCATCCGTGACACTTCCCCTCAGCACTGCTTGCCCCCCCCCCCGCGGTGGCGAGGGGCGATTCGGATCCCGGCGATTCCTCCCCAGCCCCCAGCACACACTGGCAAAGAGAGGAGGCACACGAAAAGGACACCGGATTGTGATCCGGGGCATGCAATCCCTAGCAAAGCAGCCTCCAGAAGGAAGAAGGCATTGTTTCCATATATTTCAACTCGAATCGGTGCTAAAAGTTAAACTGGATAATTTTAAGTCTCAGCTTTGTCACATGAGCACGACTGTTTTCCCCCTCTCCAGTGGAGACACCCACCCACCCTCGTTCGTTATTTGCCACGAATAAATTAGCAGCGCTAATTGGGGCGACGGGAGATGCCCGGTTGTCGACGGGGAGGGGCCACCTTTCTCGGATTCCTGGGAAAGGAGGCGCACGAGGCGCAGAAATCCTCCCCACTCCAACGCCTTTAGCAAACCGAGTTGCGGGCGCTTGCTTCGCACCGGAGGAAGAAGGCGTCCATTGGCCGAAGAGGAGCGCTTAGAGACAATGGGAGCGCGGCGGGGAAGTTGGGGCGCGGGGCTCTGTGTTCCTCTACCTTTCTTTAGGAATTGATGCTCCGGTCCGAGCCGCTTCTGTAACCCTGTCCTGACCGTAACCTACCTCCGTGACTTTTTAACCTTGGGGGGTGGGGAGGAGTGCCACTCTTTAATTAGTTTTCCCACATCGCACTCCCCCTCTTCCAGCATATAAAATGTGCTTCCCCCTTGCAGTCTTCACTTTTCCTTTTTAATCCCCCCTCCCATTATTGGTTTAGAGGCCGCATCTTGGAAAGTCACCTAATAAGGGATTATTGGGGAATTAGAAGTGACACGCGCCAAAGCCAGCCCCTCCCCACACCACTTCGGGGGGAGCAGGCGCCCGGAGAGCGGCATTTCCCACAGCACGTGGCTCGCCTTGCCCCAATCCTTTCCCCTTCCCTCGGCTTGTTCAGAGCAAGCAAGAGACCAGGAACCGTGTTCCAGAGGTCGTGGGAAAGGCGTTGGGCGTCTGTGCCTGCAGAAATAGAGCCAATCTTTAATAGGGCGTGTATACTCCGAGATTGTTCCTGGAACCTGGAGCCACAAGTCACATAAGCCAAAATAATGGGATATGAGGACAATCGTTTTCCTGATCTCAAGCCCCATTACCTGGAATTAAGGTTCGTTGAAATCAACAGAACCTTAAATTGATATTTTCTGAGAGGAGGGGCGAGATACGGTATCTCACTCCTAGCTGAAACAATGAGGCGAAAATTGACCAACTCCACTTTTCTTTCTCTTAGACTCAAATAATACTATTCATAATAACCCACATTTAAGCAGGAAGGGGAAGGGACGCTGCTTCACTTCGGCTTAGCAGATTTGTGGATCGCAGCGTCAGAGCTTCTTTCATTTAGTCCCGCAGATTTCAGTAGGAGTTATTCGGCTTAACGGTTCGTAGCACTTCTCCGAAGAGACGATGGCAATTCTCCTATACCCTCGCATCCCATTTTTACGCTTTCCGCCGCCCTCGTCACTTTTTTGCCTTCCCCCTTTCTTCTGAAGATTCATTGCGCTGGCTCTTCATTTTTGAAAGACCATTTAAGCAGAGAGAACAGCGGGGATTATTACCCACGTCTTTTAAAACGAGCCTAAGGATGAAGTATAAATTAATTATATGACGCACCCCACCACCCTGACCCCATAAGCTTGTTTAACTTGACAGCCAGTCCCTCGATTGCAACCGATCTTGCTTCTCGAGCTGCCACCGTCGCCTCTGCGCGCTCACACGGGGAGTCAATCCATCTATCCCAGAGTAAGCAGCGCGCCGGAGGATCGTCCGCGCCGCAAGGACTCTGGCGTCCGGGCTGCAGCCTTAACGCTCTGGACCAAAGGCGGTCCACAAAGCAGTTAAACTGAAATGCTCCCTTAGCCTGCCCCCTTCTCGCTCTGTATAGATGCCGATTCTGATGGGGGTCATGACTTCCAATCCTCATCTCACGGCAGGAGCTCCCGAGGGATTGCCTGGGGCCGTCTCCAGTACACGGAGGAAGGGTGGGTCTGGGCGTCTGAAGGTAACACATACGGCTTTACGCACGCGGGCTGTTGGCCTTCACTGGGCCGTGGATCGGGAATATGCCGAGATCCTGCTACCACCACCACGATCAATGATCACTAATCCGGTTTAGTTAATACTAACCGATCCCCAATCCCTTGCTTCAGCGATGGAAATGCAGATGAAGAGAGGAGTCTCTTCCAACAGGATCTGAAAATGGGGTCCCTTAAAGTGGAAGAGCAGAAACAGGGAATTCCGCCAAACAGAAAAGCGCCCCGCAAACTTTGTGGAGAATCGCGATTGGCCAGGAAATAAAGGAACCCGCCATCACGATTCCCTTCTTACCTCAGGAGGATATTTACAGGCGCTCCAGCTCTAATACTGTCGGTAATGTGTAAATAACACAAATAATGCATATAAAGGACCCGTTTGAAGGCGGCTTGCCTAATTCGGCTCAACAGTTGTAGATGGGTCTGTCACAGATTTCTTCTCGGTTGGCGTCTCTCTGTGCCTGTTTAGATGTCTAAAAGTTATAGGAAACGGGTTGCTGACCACATAATCAGAACATAAAAGAGAGTGAGAGATGAGTATCTTAATCGCTATCCCGGCATGTTTTGTGTACGTGTATGCATGCAGAGCTTTCTCTAGAAAGGCAGACTGATAATCCTATACCACTATGTCACTTTCAAATAACGTGATCCCCAAACTGGTTCAGGCGAAGAAATACACGGATTAGGAACCAAATTGGCTCCAATGTCTGCTTCTAACAGCCTGATCCACATCTTGGTTCCGCCTCTCCGGACTCAAGCCAGTACAGTTGCATTAACGTAGTCAGGACTTTTCCATTGGAATGTGCATCACAGGCAGAACGCACTTTACCGCCACAGTTTGTTTCGTTTCGTTTATTATTACATCTTATATCCTAACTCAGTGTTCCCCAACCTTGGGCCTCCAGCTGTTTTTGGACTACAACTCCCATCATCCTTGACCACTGGTCTTGCTAGCGAGGGATGATGGGAGTTGTAGTCCAAAAACAGCTGGAGGCCCAAGGTTGGGGAACACTGTCCTAACTGACCTCCCAAAAGCACAAGGTGGCCACACCCTTCTTTTATCCGCCTCCCATTTTATCCGCTAAGTGCTTCGGCTTAATTGATTTGTGGATCGCGGTGGAACAACCTTAAGAACAGATGGGGTCGGGACGACGACAATCAACGTCGTTCCGCAATCTATATCCATCTTTTTCAGGCTCCTAAGCTAAAAATTGGCCGGTCTAAAGCTTGTGAGTCTTGAAAGTTTCTTTTTCGAATCTCGTTAATCCAACAAGTTCCAAAAAGGCTGCCGCTCTCTCTTCGCCTCTGGGGCACTTCCATCCACAGCCAGGTTCAGAAAATGCACTTAAATTATGCTAAATTTAATGGGAGCCAAAGGCTTAAGTTCAAGGACCGGGGATGACTGGTTTTAGTTATTAGGGACGCCTGCGGGTAAAGGAAGAGGCAACTGTATCTCTGCCCAACTTCCAGAGCTAAAGAAGAGAAATGTTCACTCGGAGTTGATATTCTTTTTCTT